ATACTGTCTTCACCGTTATCAGCTGATTCTACAACAGTGTTCTTAAAGAGTCTGGTTTTGATCACCTGCATTAGAATAGCCCTGGGGTCTTATTAAAAATCCTGGTCACTGAATCCCACCACAACCCATGCAGATAAGACTCTGTGGCAATAGAATCCCAAAATCTGCATTTGACAAGCTCTTCAGGTGATCTGCGCACCTGAGGAAATTTGAGAGCCCCAAGTAAAGGGAAAACCCAAGGGGCTTGAAAACCTTTTGGAATTTGAAGGTGGGTGCACTCCCAGTGTCTGGCTGGGCACCCCCATCCGTGGGATGTAGATAAGGGGGTAAGGGATGGTGTTTGGGTTCATTTTGATTGAATCCAAACTTCACATTTTTCAACACGAGTCTTCCATCCAAATAAACCTTCTCGGGTTCACTAATCCCTATTACCCAGTGGATTTTAGCTGGATCCGCACTTCTTTATCAGTTTGCAAGACATTTTCATCTCATATGGAGGTCTTCCTGCAGTTCTACTTCAAAGTGGCAAAGCCAAGAAGGCTGGAGAAAGAGTTTCAGAGAGTGTTTACAGATGCCTTATCGCTTAAGGGGTGGGGAGGGAGAGTCAGGGGGGAGGGTGTGGGGCGAAGGACTACATTTCTCCAAAGCAGTTCAGAGCTACCCTAATCTGCAGAGGCCATCAAACAGTAAGTAGCTTAAAAGATCTCTCCTACAAAGAGGGAAATTAAGTTTTCTGGCTTGTCAGTCACCCAGGATCTAGGCTGGTGTTTTCAAAAACGTAGAATCGTCCTTTCCGGGGTGCTAATTACAGGATTCTGGAAGCAGATGTGTGAGGGTGTGCAAACAAACACACACGCTCGCAGATCACCTCATGTGTGGGTGTTTGTGTCTGGGAGTGGGCGTTTGTATAATTAAGAGAGCGAAACGCCTTTTTGCCGCCCGCACTGCGGAGGGAGCAGGATCCCTTTGGAAACCTGCCTCTCTCTGTTCAGAGTTGAGCTGGCTCTGGGGAACGGGGCAGGGGATTGGTGTCTCACCAAGTCACCCACTGATTCCTTTAACTGCCTGACAAACGTCTTCTGTTTTTCCACCTGGGAAGATTCTGTGCTTCCCAATGCTTCTCCCTGGAGAAGGGAACTGGAATATTTCCGGGACGCAGAAAGGCCAGCCAGGAGGTCAGCAGGTCTGGAGCTTGGAGACACACGGGAGAGCCCCGCTGGGCGTGTGCAGGGTTTGCATACTGTCACCCCCCGCGGAGAGCATGGCTCAGGGATGAAGCCTCCCGTATCTGGTCTTCTCCTTGGCACAAGTGAGGCCCAGGCTGCTAGGGAAAAAAAAACAAACAAACAAAAAAAAAACCCAGTTTGGAACTTGGCCTAATAGGCTGGGTCCTGGTTCAGAACGTAGTCCACCACACAAACCACCATGACTGCCCTTGGGGGAGAGAGGGTGCCCCTGTGTTTGGCTAAACCGTGGGGTATTTCCTTCACAGAGAGCATATTTAATCATGTTTAAGTATAGGTTTGTTGTGGCGGGGGGACCAATCACTGCCATCCTTGATTTTCCCACAGAAGAGCTTGGCTTTCTGGAGTCAGCCGCTAAGCACCAGGGGGTTCCCTCAGAGGGCCAGAGCCCTAGTCCTCCTTCCCAGGGAAGCCAGGCGGCAGCCCCACCTGCCGCAGGGGCATGGCCCTTGCACTGCTCACGGAATTCTACTGCTCTAACCGTATTGCGCATTTTACTTTCTCAGAGTCCGCAGCCTTCTCTTTTCACTTGCTTCCTTTTCTGGTCAACATATTTTTGGAGGATGAGTTGCCCCAAGGCCTCCCAGTTCAGAGAAGTCTTGGGCTGTGGTCAAATGCTGCTGGGAGCTCAGACCTTGGAGAATCTGTGAGCTCCTAGCACCTTGGGAAGCTTTCTGAGAGACAGATTAGGGTTTAACTTAGCAGCAGGAACTCCGCAGCCAGCCAGCATGGGTTGGGAGGCTCGCTGGACCTCTGTCTCTTCTCTCTCTCTCCCACCTGGGAGAAGTTGCCTAGCCACATGTGCCTAAGTTCCCTCATGTAAAGTGGGGATGTAATAGTACCTACCTCCTAGGGTTGTTTGAGGATGAGACCCAAGCTATGTGCAGAGCTCAGAAGAGTGCCCAGGATGTAGTAAGTTCTGTACAACTATTAACTGTCATTTTTCGGCCCCTTGGGTTGTGCGCCTGTATAAAGGTTTAATCACCTTCCAAACTGGCTCAGGGGCCCAAGTCAGGGCTGAATCAGGGGCCTCTCACTGTGAGCTCCTGCAGGGAGGGGCCACCTTTTGGGATTTGTCTGTCCAGAGGGGCCTTTGGGCTCATGGAGGGGCTGCTTTTGGGTGACTCTGGGGTGGGCACCAGTGTCCATGCTGACCCCTGTGGGCGTGTCTATAATGGCCTTATCATCACGCCACATTCAGGTAGGATGAGCCCTGTCCTAGCGGGCTTCATAGGGTCCATCTGTCCTCTGTGTCAGCTGCCTGTGACCACAGCAAAGCACCAGCACCGGTGCTGGGGTTTGACTGTTTATTCTCCCATAAGCCTGTGGCCTCAGAATCTTCTCCCTGGTGTCAGATGAACTGGCCTCCCCTTTGATACTCCACTCGACCCCCGAGGTCCACCCCTCACTGGCAGCCATGGCCGTCTGTGTAGAGCATTCAGGACATCAGAGCATTCCACTCCTGCTGGAAACCCTGCAAACAACACAACTCTGACACTATCCACAACCTCCAAGGGGCTCTGGATACGCCTGTGGCCTGCGCCCAATTCTTTCCAAGCACAGTCGGCCAGTTCTGTGTCCTCTGACTTTCCAGCCTTCATCCTGCCCCCTGGATTCTTCTTCTCCCAGGTTCGGACCCTTCAGACCTCAGCCCAAATGTCACTTCCTCAGAGGAGCCCTTCCAGATCACCTGATCCAAAAAGGGCCCCTCCCCTGCCAGAGAGATTCTTCTCTCTCTGTAAATTGAGCACTATCTGTACTGGCCGCATCCACACTGTAAACTCCTCCTCGTGGACACACCCCTCCCCCAGTGCCCAGGACAAGCCCCGGCAGATGTTGTCCTGTGCGCATACACAGTTTGTAATCCACAGGCCAAACGCTGCCCCTGGGCTGCTTTGTGGGCACTTGTTGAAGGCCGTTGACTCAGACGGAGGGTTTGGGCAGACTCGGGGTCCGAGGTTTTGAGTGCTGCCCTGCTGCTCACCCACAGCAGGCCTCAGAGCCTTCGTTTACGGGACAGAACAACGCCAGCCAGCCCGTCTGAAATGGTTCGGGCAGGAGGGCGCGTGGCTCCAGGCCTAGAGTGAATGGTCATTGCTCTGCTGGCCCTTATTGCTGCCATTTTCATGGGGGTGGGGAGGCGGAGTGTCCAAATGCATCCCTTCAAACCACGCCCCCTTCCCCTGCCGCCAGATGCCAGCGATCATTCCCGTAGCCTTCTACACACTGGCACAAGGTCTAAAAAAAACAGAACCGTTTTCCTGAAAGGGGAATCACCATCCCCTGTTTGCTCACACCAACTTTGGTGTAAATTCGTTTGCAGGCAGAGAACAGAAGGGCTCCAGGGAAAGTACAGCAGATTTGTCAGAGAGTAAGAGAGGGCCAGAGGATCCAGCTAATGGCAGGACCACCTTACAAAGGTCAGACACCTTGGCTCCCACCATCCCCCTCCCCCACCTGCTGCCAGAGACACCAAAGCAAGCCCAGGTCTCCGCAGTGGGCAGGTGGTAGGACAGGACTCAAACCTGGGCCTCTGGCCCGCAGCAGGGCGTGTCCTGCTGGAGGGCCTGGGCGGCTGGAGAGCAGCACTCGGGGATCAGGGACAGGGTGGGACCGCAGAGGGGAGAACCAGAGGCTGTGCTGAAAGGTGGAGCAGGGTTTAAGATGAAGGGCATCCACTTTTCAGTCTTGATCTTGGCCCATGGCTATTGCTGCACGTGCCTGGAGAGCCCCCGGAGCCCTGGCTGGCCCACCTGGCCCACTCCCAGGGCCTTCACCTGCCTCAGAAGCCCTGCTCCATCCAGCTTGGCCTCTCAGAAGCACCTGCAGGGCCACCAGGGTCAACCCATGTCACAGGCTAAATCTCTTGTTTTGCCTCGGCTTGGCTTCCCAGCTCCCAGGCTAATCACTGTCATCATCTGCTGCCTCATGCAGTGATCGCCAGGATTAAAGAGCTAAGTTTGAAAACCACTTTGAACTGTGTGAATGAGAGGGTTCCAAGAAAAGAGGTGGGAAAAAGCAAAATAATGGCCTATGGGGATAAAGTGCCACTTCTGGGTGCTATGAGGAAAGTCACTTCTCTGAACTCACCTCACCCTTTAATTGGGCAGAAGCCGTTCTGCAATGACCGCGTTCTCTGTGCCCCCTCCCTTGCAGACATACAGACTGAATGGCAGGACTCCTCTGTGAGCCCCCAGTCACACAGGAATTGCTCTGGACTAAACAAGGCCAGTTCAGTAGCCTTTTCTGTGACTTGGAGACGAGCAGAGAATCCCCCCTGTGGTTCACTTGCAAGCGTAGATGAACAGAACACCAGTGGAAGAATGGGAGGGTTCATAGTAAGAGGAAAACGGATGAATAAGACTGCTCCCGAGACTTGGCTAAGGAGAGAGGGAGGTATGGTCAGTTCCACTGGACAGATTGGGCCCTAAGCCTTTCAACTGGGCTTGAAGCAGCTCAGAAGACACCGGGGTATTTAGCCTGTGGTCTGAAGACCGTGGCTTCTCAGGAGAGAAGAGTGAGAACATGGCCAGAGTTAACAACTCTTCTTAGAGGCTTGTTTCCTTGTCTTGTCATCCTGATGCCTCGGGAATAGGAGTGACGAGTAGAGGGAAAGTCTGTAGTACCCTGCTTGAGGGGTTTTGTTTTGGTTTTTTTGGAGGGGGGAGAAAAAGAGAGACAGAAACATCCACTTGTTGTTCCACTTACTCATGCATTTATTGGTTGATTCTTGCATGTGCTCTGACCAGGGCTCAAACCCGCAACCTTGGAGTATTGGGACAATGGTCTAACCAGCCGAGCTACCCAGCCTGGGCTGTTGAGTTTTCTTGAAACTAGTTACAGATTGGTGCTCTCCAGTCTCTGGGTGAGACTAAGAAGAGAGAGAGATGGTGGATGGGAGGTGACTTCTGGCCAAGCAGAGGCTGCGGAGGAGTCAGCAGAAAGTGATTACTCCTGATTCTGGAAAGTCTGTGACTGCTCCTGCTGGCAGTGCGCTCTCTCTGTGGAAGTCCACGGTGGTTGGATTGCCAATGACCAGAAGTCAGGGCCAGGAGAGAAATGTTGAGGGGTTTCTCCAATGGATTCATAAAAGGCTCCAAAAGAAAATGCTTAAAAGCTTAAACTCTTGCTGATGACTCAGATGGGATTTTTCTACCTACACCAAAGCCAGAGGTAAGTGCAGACCATGCCTCATTGTCCCACAACAGTTCTTCCCAGAATCCCTCCAAAATTCGGCCATCTTTTAGCATTCCAGTGGGAGTGGGAGTTTGTTGGGAGAACGCTGAAGACAGGCAGCAAGAAGAGGGAGCGTTGAAGGCAAAAAGATATCATTTTTTGATTCCTTTTAAAAAGGCATCTATTGTCATTAAAACTGTGAGGCAAATTCGCTTGGACATCCAAGTGCTTTAATTTTTCAAGTGTGAGATTGTAATCTTTTCTCCCTCCCTGTTCTCTCTCATAGATATACATATATAAATGTATATGCAGTTTTTTCTCCCCGTTTTTGGACCATTTGAGCGTAGGTTGCAGATGTGATAACTCTATTCCTTCTGGCGTGTGTTTCCTAGGAACAAGGACATTCTCTTACATAACCACAGTAAAGTATCAAATTCAGGAAATTTCCATTAAGACAATGCTCCTATCCAACCTCCAGTCCGTATTCCAATTCCATCAGTTATCCCAGTAATGTCCTTTTCTCCTTCTGGTTCACGATCCACCTAGAACCACCAAAAGCAAGAATGGTTTTTAGGTCTTAATTGAACCCCATCCCACGCTGCTTTGCGTATATATTCTCCACTTGGTTTCAGAAAGGATTTCAAGCAGCACAGAGGAAAGACACAGATATTTAATAAGATGGAATACAAATTTAAAATACCAGGTGACAGTAACAAAACAGAGGGAAAAGGAGAGAAGAGAAGGAGTCTAACACCGGAGGCAAGGCTACTTCTTACGAGACGTACCACGAAGTCCTTCGCATTGGTTGCTGGGGGTGAAACATGCTTTGGCCTTGAGGTTTCCGGCGGCCAAAGCAAAGAAGGAAACAAAACCAGATAGACACAGCAGCAGCTCGGCCCCAGGGTGGAGGAGGAGGGGTTTCTGTCTTCTTAGGCGGCATGCCTTGTTATTTTTTAACATTAATGTCCACAGTTCATGGTTGTTGTACACACTCTCTAGCCAGTTTCTTCTCCAAGTGTATACCACCCTAAGCTCTGGGTGAAGGGAGGCAGGGGTCAGGAGAAGCCTCGGAGACCGTGGTAAAGAGCCGTTACACGGGCTCTGGCTGCACTCTAGTTCTTTCAGGCGCTGTCACCATCTGCCATTTAATACGAGCTCATTGAAATGAACACTAGTCCATGCACACTGTGTGTGAGTGAGATGATGGCTTCTCTCCTGCTGGAGTGGAAGCTCCTGGAGGGCAGGGACCTTGGTGTTTCTGTTCCCCACTGTTTCTCTGAGGCCCGGAGCAATGCCAAGCACCTAGGATGGGCTCAAAAGCTTTTGTTGAATGGACGTGTGTCCACAGGCCCTGCATTTCTCTGTCCACATACAGACCTTTGCCTGTCACTCTTTTCTCCCCTGGGAACGCCACACATTCTGAAGGGTTTCTCTGCTTGAACACGGAATCCAAGCTCTCCAAGGACAGCTGGGCAGCTGGTGGACACTCGATAGTGCTTGCTGACAGATGGATGTTGAGACAGGCCGTGCGGGGCCTGGGACAGAGACTGGCGTTGGCTGGGGAGGTGCGGACACCGCCCTCCTCCTCTGCAGGCTGCAGCTGCACGGAAGAGCCATCTGGGCCGCACTCACATGGCGGGAAGAGGGGCCCGGTGGCGCCAGCGTTCCATGTGAAGCAGCGCTGGGCAGTCCTTGCCTGGCCCCCACCGCCCGTCTCCCCCGCGGAGCTCAGAGCCTCGACAGGCACGACGTGGTGGCATTAGGCCTCCAGCCCCGACCACATGCTGGGCTCCTAAGGGTGCGCCACCCCCCACACCACCCTCTGGCACCTTAGGAGGTACTTGGGGAGCGCTGGCTTGGCCCCACATGCCTGCTCTCTGTCTGTGGACACCTGCCCTTAACCCAGCCTCCTCGCACCTCCACCTCCCCTCCCCCACTCGGCACACAAGACGGGTTCCTGTTCCTTGGGATCCAGGCAGAGGCTTCAACACATCTTTTATTAATATTAATTCTTAAAAAAAAATTCAGTGCTATTTACCATCTGTTTTTTTTCTCTTGGCTGAAAATAATTGGAGGCGAAACGCCTGCTGCTCAGGGTCCCCCGCGTAGTCTCTGAAGGAACAATGGGGACAGACAGCGACTGCATTTTTCCGCCAGCAAACAAGCTGGGCACACTCTCCTTGCCGGTTGCAGAGGCTGCACAAGGCCAGGCGGGTCTTCCAGCCCCGCAATTCTTGTCCTCTGCCCGTTCAGGGTCCCGTGCATCTTGGGTCCAACACACCTCCTCCCGGGGGCCCTTTGGTTTCTATCAGCCACGTTTACTGGTTTTCCTCTGTCCGGACATGTGGCACATTTGATGTTCCACTAAAGTTTGCCCCATCTGTAAATATAAATAGCCTGGTCTTGATTCCATTAGAGGCCCATGAATGGAATATTCCGAACTGACTGCCGTAGGGCCATGGGCCCGCCAGGACGGGGCTCCTGCTTTAGAGAAAGGAAGGGAGGCTGTGTGGTTTCCTCCCTCCGACGGAGCCAGAACGTTTGGCTTCCTGGCTGATGGGCTCTGAGCCTCCCTAGATTCCTTCAGAGTCAAGGAATCATATGTCGCTCTGGAAGGGACCCTACAGGGGATCACTTAGCAGATAAACGGCTGAACACAGATGGACCAGCTTCCCGGGAGCAGGAGAACCTCCGCGCTCATTCCCCTCACCGAGTGCACTTTCCCAGGGCAGGCAGTCTGGGCCTGCCCCTCCCCCAGGGCGGCAGCAGTAGGTGGAAGCCCCCTGGGGAGTCTGCAGCCCAAGTCACTCAGGGGTCTTGTGGGCACCTCGCTGGTGTGACGCTGAGCCCTCGTCCTGCCACCTTTGTTTAGGTGCTCTGCCCTTGTGCCCACCTGTCAGGTGCAAAGTCTGCAGCAGAGGGACCCGCCATCCCCATGGCTGGCATGGAGCAGGGGCTGGCTTCCATTTCTTATAGGTACTCACAGACTTTCCCTCCTTCCCATCCATCTCCGAGGCCCCTGCTGTGGTCTCGTGAGGTGCACACCTCCCGGGTCACGGGCTTACTCGTCATCTCTGGCTCCCTGTCCCACCCCCATGTGAGGACGTAGAGAGAAGACAGCTGTCTGAACCAGGAAGCAGGCCCTCACTGGATCCCCCGAAAGACAGATCCTGACTGTCTCTGGGGACCCCTGGGAGCTCCCAGCACCCTGGTCTGCTCTCTCCTGCAGACCCCATTTCCCACATGGGCCTGAGGAGCCTGAGTTGGGGCCCATGGAACTCGACCCTCTATTTCTATTTATTCAGTGGTACTGGTTCCCCTGCACTTACGTGGAGGTTCAATTACCAAGGCCTAGTGCCACCCTTTCCCTGGCAGGATGCTAGCCAGCACCTTCTTCCCTGATCTGCAAGAACTTCCCTCAAGTTCCAGATGGGCTGGATTTGTGTTCCCACACTCTGGTGCATTCACGATCCCCCTGAGGAGCTGGGTAAGCTTTTCCAGACTTGCATTTTAAGAGCCCCTTGCCCGGCCCTCCTGCCCCTGTCTGTTTTGCAGTCAACAGGGTCATCCTGCCCCACATTTAAGGTGGCTATTAAATCTCTTTATGAATCCATAATAGGGGTGGAAAGGCCTCTGCTTGCTGAGACATGGAATTGAAACAGCTCGTATTAGTCAAGGTCTGACGTCCCAGGTGAGTGTTATCTGCTATTTGTGGGTTTTCTTTCTCTCGACTGTGTTCCTGCAGGGTGTTGAAAGGAATACAGAAGGTCAGGTCAAAGAAAGGGGCTTGAATCTACTTCTGCTACTAGCTCCCTGCAAGATGGGACAGTGAGTGAGTTATTGGAACCCTCCAAGACTCAGTTTCCTATTCTGAAAAGGGGGCTGTTGGAGGATTTCCTGGTGTGTTGGTCTGCTCGGACTGCCGTGACAGAATGGCACAAACGTCAGAGAGTTATGTGCTCACAGTTCTGGAGGCTAGGAGTCCAAGACCGAGGGGATGGCAGGGTTGTTTTTTTCCTGAGGCCTCTTTCCTCGGCTTGTAGATGGTTGTCTCCCTGTGTCCTCACTTGGTTTCCTTTTGCAAGTGCCTGTATTGTAATCTCCTTCTTATAATGTCTCCAATATGGCACCAGGCATGTTGGATTCGGCCCCACCTGAATGACCTCATTTTATCTTCAGTGCCTCTTTTCTTTTTTAAAGATCCTGTCTCCAAATACAGTCACAACCTGAGGTCCTGGAGGTTAGGGCTTCAACATATGAATCTGGAGGGGACGCAGTTCAGTCTATAATACCAGACGTCACATAGGGGGAGGCAGCTGTGTTGCATTGAATACGACACATTGTTGACACTTCATCTGGTGACAGCTCAGTACCTTCAGTCAATCACCCATAATTTCACGCTGTGCCATGTGAGATGAGGGTGCTCTTGTATAGGGAACTGGAAAGAACAGTTGCTGTTGGATAACAGTCTGAAATGGCATTGGACTGACTGCCTGAGTTCAAATCCCATGCCCACCACTCACTGGTGCAATGAACTCAGGCGAGGTATTCGACCTCTCTGCGGGGCCCCACCCGAAGGCATGGACCGTCACAGAACCATAGTGATGATGAGAGGGGGTAGCCATGCAAAGCTCTTAACAGAGACCCCGGAGCATAATAAGCACACCTTCCATTCAAGCTAATGGTAGTACTTCCGGTGGTCCTATCAGATGAACGTGTGGACGGGAGCAGAGGCAGGGCTCGTGTGGGTCTGTGTGGTTCATTTCTGGAGTTGGGCTTTTCAGACTCTCCCCCGCTTCCTCTGGGCAAAATAGTTCCAATTCCTTTGACCTTGCTTCACAGAGCCTAGTTTCCATGGCTTTGATCATTTCTGTGGCTCCTGCCTGGACACCCTCCAGCCTCTCCCAGCCCTTTCAGGAGGAGTGACACAGACTCGACTCAGCAGTCTAATTAGAGGAGCTGACTAATGCGGGACCGGGAAGGGGGGTGGGGGGGAGGGAGATGACTTGGGGGCCGGGACATGTCACAGGCCTTTTATGTGTGTGGAATCCAGTTGGCTTTGAAGATGGCAAGGCACTCTGTTGACTATGACCAGATGCCCTGGACTTTCCAGGACAGGCTTTTTAGAGATGGTTCAGATTTCAAATCTTCTTTTTGATTGTCCCCATAAGCCAATAAAAATGTCTCAGCAGTTCTAACTTTTCTGTTTCCCCACTGTCGCCCCCAGAGTGCCTCTTACACACGGGTGACACTAAAATATTCCCCTCGCCCAGCAGGGGACAGATGACATCCTGATGCGGTGAGGTCATAGGATGGCAGTCCTAGAGAAGGGCGGGTTGTCCTGATTTCACACAGCCTTCCCTGTTGTGAACCAGAAGTCGTACCTCATGCCAGGCCCGTCTGTTAGGGTCTTGTTTTCAGAAAATGTGGTCACGCGGACAATCTCGCTCATTTGTGCTCAGCGTGTGGACAGCAGTCACCTCTAGGTCTTTTTCTCCTAAACCTGTGTCTGGCCCCAAACCTTAGCTCGGGGTCAAGTACCTACTTAGTAGGGGCTCACCTGGTAACTGGTGACCAGTTGGAAGCTGCTTCTGTCTTCATCCCAAACGTATGATGGCTGCTTTTAGCCCTAAATATATCACCTTATAATTGTACTATTGAATTTCATCAGGTTTTTGTAGGGCCATGTTTTCAATTTGTCACGGTTGTTTTGAGTTTTATTCTTGGCTTTCTGAGTGTGAGCCACCCCTCCAAATTTAGAATCGTGTGAGGATTCTATGAGCACAACCTCCACCCTTTTGTTTAAGCCATTAATGAATATCAGCCCAGTGGTTAATCCCAGAGGCCCAGTGATCTTTCAAGAGCACACCATGGCACTCGCTATCTGATAAAGAATGTCTTCTTTGGTTGGCCACAGAACCCTGTGTTCACTGTAGAACATTCACAAAGTGCAGATAAGCGCAAGAAGGAACTCAAAATAACTCATTATCCCACCATGCCAATGTAAGCGCTGTCATTTGGTGTGGATTCTTCTTGTGAAATGTGTGTGTGTGTGTGTGTGTGTACACTCATCAACATGGCTTAAGTGACACACTGCCCGATGATGTGCGTGCTTGTGGAGCTGATCATAGAGCGTGACCAGAGGGCTAGTTATTCACACTCCATTACCACACAGACACTCCCAAATCAAAAACTTTTATATATAATGTGTGTACACACACACATGCGCGAGTAACTCAAACTCTACTCCACAAACGCTAGCCCCACGGGATGGGCAAGGGCAGCGCTGTTCACTCTTCTTGAAAAACACTCTTCATGCAATGCATTGAAGGCTCTGAGAAGTTCTATGGTGAAAAAAAATCCCATGTAATTTTTTCTAATATTTCCCAAATTTAATGATCTATAAGAACCTGTTTCTAGAAGCACCTATTACTATCCCTCTGAGAAACATTTGTAGAAATACTCATAGATTAAATGTTAACATCAGGATAAAGAGAAATAATAATTTTTAAAAGCACTTGACTTAAAGTCAGGAGATCAGACTCCTTCACCTTTAATGAGTTTAAGACTTTGGATAAATTACTTTTGTCTGAGCCTTAGTTTAGCAAGACAATTAGGTGGCCCATATAACCCCAACCTGCCTTGTTTTTCCCTTAAAGTGAAGATGAGTGAAAATTCGATTGGTCTAGGATGTTTTCTTTATGACATTACTTGGCCATGCCCACCTGCCTCACCGTAATAGCCATTATATATTTAGCATATTGCACAGGTTAACTCATTGGACCCTTATAACATCCTTCTGGTGGGTAGCAGGAACCGAAGGGGTTAAAATTGTTTGCCCTACAGCCACATAGCCAGTGAGAGAAGTAGTCTGTGGGCTCTAGGGGCCCTGCTCTTAGACACTAAGGCACACCACCCCTGTGTTCCCCCAGATGGGGATCAGTTCTAGCATCTTCCCAGGAAAGGCTGGGCTGCTGGTCACTGGTCCATGGAGCACATGCGCTCTTTTTTTCGTCTGCAGAAGTGAGCAGTCATTCACCAGCCCCCATCTCTGGGCCTGCCTGGTCTTCCGTGCTGCCACTACACTCACAGTTCCGCCCGACTGGACCCGTCCCTCAGGGAGCCTGCGGTTCCCACAGGCCCACAGGTGCCGCCGGTTTGCACAGACCTGGCTTCCGAGTTCTCCCAACTGCTTCTTCCCTCCTCCAGGTGAGCCTTCCTTCGTCTAATCGCCTGGTGGCATTAGATCTGGAAGGAAAGGGAGAATTTCCATCCTCCCCCTGCCCTGTTTTACTGGTTTCCTCTTCCTGCCTTTAATAGAGTGGGGGGTAGCTAAGTGGTAGAGGGGCCGTGCAAGTCTGCAGCAGCCTGTCCCGCCTGCCTAGTCTACTTAGTAAGAAACAGACAAGTTTTATTGAGTGCTTACTATGCGTCAGTGCTTACATATCTGGTTTGTGGGGGCACTCATCTCAACAACCCCATGAGGTGTGATGTCTTTAATGTACAGATGAATCCATGGAAACAGAGAGAGGGTGAGTCATTTGCCAAAAGCCACACAACTTGTAAGGGTCAGAGCTGGAATGCAAACACAGAACCAACGCTTCTTCCAGGGCTATGTGCTAAACTCCCCTGGAATACTGCCCCTTTCCCTCCGGGCCCCACCCCTCACCGCTCTCCCCACCCACCTTGCATGAGGGACGGGATGCCTCCCAGCTCCTCCTCCACTCTGCACACACCTGCGCTCTCTCTCCAGTCTCTCTGCCCTTCACACTTTCTGTTGCCTTCCCAGACTGCTCTCAGTCCCTAAATGCCCCTCCTGCTTTCTCCCAAGAAGCCAGAGCCTCCGTCCCTGGGCCAGGTGGGTGACACAACTTGGGCAGAGAGATGGGGAAGCCACCTTTCCGGTGCCTGCCGTCCTCCGAGAACCAAGGGGGCTGTGAGCAGCATGTAACAGAGACACCTGCTGGCTGCTTCAAGCACAAGGCCCCGAAAACCCGGAACCTGGCCCCTCCCTGGGAGGGCCAGGTGGACACAGCATCTGGCAGGGTTTCCCCTCCATTCTGCCCCCCTCAGGCCAGGTGGGACTGCTTTCTGAGAGGGCTCCCCTCCTTGACGGATTCTTGTCACTTTCACTGCTGCTCTGAGGACAAAAGCCAAAGGTAAGGGACCACTGTATTTCAAAGTATCAGTCCCTTAGTTTGGTGACTCCCAGCTTGTCTTGGTTGCCTAGAAGGTGGAGTCAGAGCCATTTATAGGCAAATAAACAGAGGGTAGCTTTTCTGTGCAAATGGAGGGAAAAGGAACAGGCCCCTCCCCACTTCCCCCCTCCCCCTGCCCCACACCCTGGCCCTGCACAGGCTGATTGGATGTGGAGTGTGGTTTTCAGAAAGGATCCTCCCTTGGCAGGCTGTCTTCCTGTTGAATCAGGGTTTACAACCCCTTATCCCTGCCCGGCACCATTTGATGCACACAAATGGGGTTCACCATTGTGGCTAATTGCCATAATTTGCCAGTTCAAATATTGACCGATAAGGTGGCTGGAGAAGAGAGGATAGCTGCTTCCCAGGAAATCACTAATCTAAATGAACATCCTCAGATGCTCTGCCAGAGAAAGAGACGCCACTGCCGGCAACACCCTCCTCACCCTCTCCCCCCCCCACCCCCCACCCCCGCCGCCAAGCTCATCAGAACTGGACAGATTACACATAGTCATGGGGGACAGTTATTTCCAAGGTGTACCCCAAGTATCTCCAAGGTTTTATCCTGCCTGATGCCCCCACCCCCACACCATTTGATTTGTTCTTCTGAATAGGGCCTCCTTCTCCATCAACCCAGTTAACAAACATCCGTGGATACCCAGGTGGCCTTTGCACAGCACTGGGGTTTTAGGAACAGCAAGGAGCTTCGATGTCATCACCACCTATCTTCAATGTCAGACCTTAAAATACCGTGTCCAGCTATTCTGGTGAGTATATTCGCCCAAGGCAAGACTGAGGAATTGCCAGACTCTGTGGGTAAAGATGTAAACGCACAGCCAGCCCAGGAGTGAGCCGGTCAACTGAGAGTAGCTGGACACTGGGGTGTCCTCAAGATGACCCAATGGTTGCTCCCCATCACCATGGACAGTGTGAACTCTGAAGGCTCCTTGGAGGGGGAGGGATTGAAAGGGGTCTTAAAGGACAAGATAAGGAGGGGGAAATGCCAAGTGCAGAGGCTGTGCAAGGGAAGACCCGGTTGGAGCAGGGAGAAAACCCCGTGACAACGAGGCCCCCCACAGTGGATTGTGCCAGCTTGCCGCTGGCTTTGAAGACCAGCTGAGGAGCCCGGCCCCCTCCAGGGGTCATGACACTGTCCTTAAAGTTTCCTACATGGGGGTCGATAGGGTCAGAGCAATGCGTCCGGGAGATTGTAGAAGGAAGAGATGAGAGTCAGAAGCAAGGGTCAGAAGCCGACGGAAAGGTCCTGGGCGTCAGAATCACACGACTTCTCACATGACTTCTTGATGCACCCACGCAGATGCCCGTGGGGCCAGGAGACCCTTTGTGCCCAGCTGGCACAGATGAGCAAGCTCGTGAGTCCTTCTGCCCGGGACCTTTGGATAGGGTGAAATTTCAAGCATGGCGCATTTTTGAAGGGGGTGGGCCCCAGGGTGCTTTGGGTACTAAGGCACAGCAGAAGGGCCCCAGGAGCAGAGCAGAGTGGGGCCAGGGTGAGACGGAGGCCTAGCAGGCCGATGTCACAATGTTGCCGGAAGGGCCCAAGGCAAGCAGGAACAGGCTAACCCAGGCTGCGCAATGGAAATACCATCAAGATGCAGATGTAATTCTAAGTTTTCGAGGAGTCACACTGGAAGAAAAAGTTAAAAGAAACAGGTGAAATCGGTGTTGTATTTTCATTGGCACCATATGTCTAGGATGTTATTGTTCGAACGTATAACTGAAGTTTTAAACTTATGGTTGAGGTATTTTTCCTTCTTTGGCGTTGTTGTTTGTGCATGCGCTCTCGGAAGTCCGTGTGCAGTGACACGGAGCACGCGTCCCCACTCGGAGCAGCCCCACGGTCCCAGGGCTCCAGAGCCACACGGGGCCCGCTGTGCTGGGCAACACTGTGCTGAGCTCTAGATAATCGCTTCTCAACTGAGGGTGATTTTGCCCCCTAGGGACATTTGGTTACGTCTGGGGACAGTTTGCGTTGTCACAACGGAGGTAGAGACCAGGATGCTGCTGAACATTCTGTAATGCACAAGACAGCCTCCGGCAGCAAAGAACCATCCGGCCCACTGTAGGGAGAGAAGCAAGCCAGAGCTCCACGTGACGCCGGGAGAGGGAGACCCGATGCCAGGGTGTCAGAGTGATGCCACTGCAGACGCTCCCGCCAGAACTCAGGCCTCGCCTCAGACAGGGCGGGCTGCCAGGCGCCAGTGTCAGGACTTCCTGGTGCTTTGTGATAGGCACGGGCTACACCCTGAGCCGCTCAGATAAGCCAGATTGTGTTTGCAATGGTTACAGTCCTGCAATTACCCTCACGCCACCCCACCCAAACCTCGGCGCTGTGGCTGCTGTGCAGTGCGGTCCCCACTCGGGACAGCTGTGCAGTGGACCGTCAGGGACACAGCAGCCCGTTCAGTTCTGCAGTGCGCAGCCTCTGCACCTGCGCCTGGCAGCCTCGCTCCCGGAAGCCAAGGGACCCTGTCTCATCATCACAGCAGCCTCCCCTGGTTTTCTTTGTGGCCATTCCCATGTTTAGAAGTTACAAAGAAGCAGAGCAATTGGTGATTATCCCTGTAATAGAGAAGCCTCTTTCAATGCAGGGATCGTAACCAGGAATTAAAAGTGGCGCTGGACTTCCATCCAGGGCTCCTGCTCTTGAGTCAGGGTCTCTGGTCTTTTTAGAAGGATCGCCTTTCCCCCCTTTATTCCTTCCTGCCCTTCCTACAAATATTTACTATATTGTAAAGTCCCTGTGGGTGCTGGGCTAGGTCTTGAGCAGATAAGGCAGCTGGATCACAGCTCGTTGCACCACATCTCTGCAGGAAATCAAGATAAACTTAGAGCACACTGTTTTCAGTAGAACCAGGAAATCAAGATAAACTTAGAGCAAACTATTCTCAGTAGAACAGGTGATATGTTTTTTTTTATCCATCATCAAAAAATAAGGGTAATTCTGAGTTAAAGAAAGAGTGTATGTAGCCTTATGATTATAAGTACCCACTCTGAAGCCAGGCTTCTTGGATTCAAAGCCAGGCTTTCTTAGTGCTAACTGTGTCACATTAGACGAGTTACTTGAGTGCTCTGTGCCTCGGTTTCCCCATTTGTCAAACGGAGTAATCACAATAACTACCCCAGAGGGCTGCATGGGAATTTTAACAAGCTGATATATGTAAAGTACTTAGAATCATGTTTGCCATAGAGTCAGTGTTCAATAACTGTCATCTTGTAAGAGAAACAGATTTTTTTAAAACTGTAGACTGCTCAGTCTTTGACATGCTTATGGGCTCTGTGACTCTTGAAAGGGGAACAGGCAAAGATTATTTCCTAATCATCTTTGCCCACCGTTTTCAACTGGGTCCTCTAACGAGCAAAGCTTGAGACAAAGATGAAAGTGCCGACTCCTTCTTTGCCACACACAAGCCCAGGGCAGCGAGGAGGAGGGAAGGGGAGAGGAGGCCAGGAGGTGGGTAAAGCAACGTGCGGCGGCCACACTTCACGGGCCACCACTCTACTCGAGGCTGCTCAGCAGGGGGGCTTGCTGTGCACATGGGATTTCCCCAGAATGGCTACAAAGGAGGAGACGCCGCCCCAATGAGAGAAAGAGGGAGAATTTATCCACCCAGGTCCCACCCAGGTCCCTCCCAGGTCCCATTGGTCGAACTTACCCCAAGATCTGATTTCACCAATTGTGTCCTCTGGCCCCTTGGCAGCCACTCCAGATTCCATACCTGGTGGCACGAGTTTCCATCTAAGTCTGGAAGGGAGTGTCCCAGCAAAGGTGGGACACCAACCCAGAAGGAGGAAGTCGGGGACGGTCAGGGGGACCTCAGAAGGCACATGGGTTCATGGCAAGTACCGCCTTGGAACCTGTTTATGGGAAGCCTTCTCTTAGTATATTTGATGCTCTGGGAAGTGAGCTTAGATCTGCCTGCAGTGGCTCAAAGAGCCGATCCCAAATCCTAGCCCTGAAGGAACCTGCTGTTGGGGGAGTGGGAATGGGGAGTTTGGAGGTAGTGGGGAGTAAACAGAAAATGGCTGCAATGTGAAAAAAAAATGTGATGTGTTTTAGGAGAACCCAATGGGATGTGGCGAGGCTGGAAAGTCAGTAGGAGGTGGGCAGTCAACAAAAGACGGAGTGTACAGGGGACTGGGGAGTAGAGAGGCGGTGCCCATGCCAGGGTTGTTAGTTCCCGAGGACCACCGTGGCGAAGTACCATAAATGTGTGGCTTAAAACAACAGGAATTTATTCTCTCACAATTCTGGAGGCCGGAAGTCCAAAGCCAAGGTGTCAGCAAGGCTGTGCTCCAGCTTGCCTTCTCCCAGGCTCCTTGCCTTCTCCTGGCTTCTCAGGGTTGAGAAAGTCCTTGGTGTTTCTTGTCTTGTATCTGCATCACTCCAAACACTGCCTCGGTCTTTGCATGGCCTGCTCCCCTGTGGGTTTCTGGGTCTCTTCTTAGAAGGACACCAGTCGTATTGGACCAAGGGCCCGTCCTACTCCAGCATGGCCTCATCTTAAAAAATCAATCTGCAACAACCTTATATCCAAATGAGGTCACAGCTCAAGTCAGGGAAGGATATTAATTTTGCAGGCAAAAAACAACTCAACAGGGGGAACAGCAAGGGCAAAGGCCGGGAAGAAGAAAGAGAAAGCCAGGCCAAAAAGGGTGGCCGGAACTGCTGGAGTGACTGCAGTGGCTCTTGGGGTCAGGAGCAGTGAAGAGGAGGCTGGAGACACAGCAAGGTGGGACCCCAAGAGCTTCAAAAGCCACAGGCTCACCCTGAGTGGGGGACTGAGTGTTCTCATCAGAATTCCGCCTTAAAGACACCCTAAGGCCCCCTGTGTGGAGTGCAGTTTGGAGGGGTCTGAGTCGATGGGTTAACCGGGGAAGGCAGGATGGATTTGAGATCTGAGCTAGGTCTGGACCAGGCAAGGGATCCTCAGGGAAGGTGGGATGGACATCCCAGGTGGGCACAAAGGGCAGAGCCAGGAACAAGTTGTATATTGGCTTCTCAAACACTTTCAACTTGGTTCTAATACAGGTGCATGGTGAAGTAGGGAGCGATGCAGGGTGGACTGGGAGAGCCAGGGTGTGGGGGCCCCATTTTCTGAGCACAGATCCCCTCACAGTGGGAAGATGCTTCTGCTGGTTTGTACAGTGAGCCAGTTGCCTCTGAACTTGGACTAGCACATGCTGTGCCACAATCCTGCGGCCCCTGACTCCAGACATCTGGAGCCTTTCCTGGAGATGGGTTCTGAGGCAAAGCTGCTGCTCCCTGTCTCCAGCAGAGTGGCTGAGGTCTTCTGGTCCTTGCCACCCTCCACCTCTGCACCACTAACCACAGAGGTGGGGAAGCAGCAGAGATCTGGGCTGGAGAAGGCTGGGGTCAGGGACCCCAGGAAAGAATGGCAACTGTGAGAGGGTCCTGCTGACACTATTTAAGATGTGTCTGGCTGAAAGCTGCAGGCGATTTTAGATTACAAGAGTCTCTGAAGACACTTCTTCAGCGTCAGTGACAGGAGGGTCTCATGTCTCCTGCCAAGAATTTCAGAGGCCAGGATGCTCTTCTGGGAGCCAAGGAGAGTTTCCCATGGCATTCTTTGATGAGGGCAAATTCCATCTTTTCCCATATTTTGTTCCTTGAGAATCCAAAGTTGAGGGAGACCCAGCTTGGGGTGATGGAAAATAGGCAGACATGGATTTGAATTCCATCTCTCCTCTTTTGAGCTGTGTGATCTTAGGCAACTGACTCACCCTCTCTGAGCTTGTTTCTTCACCTGTAAAAGTAGGAAGCAATGAATTGAGGCACTATGCACAGTGCCTGGCATATACGGTAGATGCTTGCTGTCATATCCCTCTTCAAAAATGGCTAATGGGACAGGATCGTACACCTGGACTGCACTGTCCACCTGGGCTGTCTAGTCAGATTTCATTCATTCATTCATTCATTCATTCATTCATTCTGTGTGTATCACAAATAGTGACTGAGGACTACTGTCTCCTGGTCACTGCCATGGGCACTAGGGATTCAGCAATGAGCAAAACAAAGTTCTGGGGATTTGTACCCTGATGAATGGGGACAGAAATAAATAATAAGGTAAATAAATATATATATCAATTCATGGTAAATGGTAAGAGGCTAGAAGTGCTAGAAGCCGGGACAAGTGAGAGGACCAGAGTGTGATTTTACTTATTTTTTTAAGGGGGTGGTATTTTAATAGCGACATCAGGGAAGGTCTCAAGTCAGATGGCCTTGGAAGAGAGACCAGGATCAAGACAGGCAGGGAGAACTGTAAGTGCAAAGGCCTTGGCAGGCGACAGCCAAGACGCAGCTGAAACGCAGAGAGCAGAGGGCGAGGCGTCACAGGTGAGATGAGAGAGAACTGGGCCCGCACCAAGAAGGTCTTACCAGCCACAGCAAGACTCTGGGTTTTACTCACGGTGAGATGGAAGCCATCTTGTCACCATGTTTTTTCACAGCTGATGTTAACCGGGCTCTTGCTCATGCCAAGCATGGAGCTGAGCACCCTGCATACATTTAGTCTTCTAAGAACCTCATAAGGTGTGCACTCTCACGATCCCCGCTTTACAGATGAGTAAATTCAGGAGCGCAAAGCTTGAGTTGACTGCCCGGAATTCAGCCTAGAAGTCCTTGACTCCCAAACCACCTTTCATCTTGGGTGACCTTTCCCATGGTGCCTACAACTCTCAGCTTATTTCGTTGTTATCAGAAGGTCACATGGAGTCCCATGGGAAGACAGAGGCCCAGACTGATGAGATGCATCTATCTGAATGCCAACGATTGCCAGCAACCACCAGAGGCTGGGAGAGACACATGGAATAGATTTTCCCTCCAGCACTGCCAATACCTTGGTTTTGGACTTCTGGCCTCCACAGCCAGAGAAAGAATAAATTTCTGTTATTTTTTATAAGCTACCAAGTTTCTGGTAATTTGTTATGGCGGCCCTAGGAAACTAATAGAGGTTTGTGTAGAGTAATGGAATGAGCCTGTTGTTGGAATCAATCAGACGACCTGAATCTGAGCTCTAACTCTTCACCTCCTAGGCGTGTAACCTTTCATAGCTCCTATGCTTTCACCCAGGCCTCAGTTTCTTCCTCTGTCGAATGGGTACATTGTAACCTGGCTGCCAGGAGTATAGTAAGAATGAATGAGATCTGAAACAATGCAGGCAAAGCCTCTGGCAGAGTTGGCAGAGGTCCCACATCATAGAGGGGTGGGCTTGGGTGGGCGAGATGATGAGCTGCAATCCTAGTGCTCAGGATAGCACTCGAAACAGCGCTCAAGAGCAGCAGCTTCTGGACATTTGCTTCCAAATCCTCCAAAGTGTTGTTGGCAAAGTGGCTTCTCCCTGACATCACCTCCTGAACGGCCCAGCTCCTGGGCCAGGCAGAAGTAACCATTTGGAGAATGAGTCGAGGAGCCCTGGCACTTGGATACTCAGTCATTACTTCCTGCCAGGAGTCTGGTTGTGTGTGTGGGAGGGAGCCCTGTGCCAAGGGGAGTCTTAGGGCTTCAAAGCCAAAGAAAAGGCAATTAAGTTTATGGTGGAATTAGTCAGGAAACTGTAAACCTAGGTACTGCCCCTGTACAGTAGGTCCTTTTAGCACCATTTCACAACACACTGCACAGTCTGGGCCCTGATTCCAACAAAATTGTCTCTTAAAAATAAATTTAGAGTCTAGACAATGTTATCATGACCTCCTTACCACCTCTGGGTCTTCATATGTCACCAGGGTGAGGAGTGGGCCCAGTGATGAACCAAGATATTTCAAATCCTGCACCCCCAACCCTAGCCCTACCCCACTGAGGCCTGGCTTCTGTGAAGCCCGTCACATGGGAAGGGAGCTAGAGAGGGTGCGTTGCACAGCCCATCACAGTGGGCCAGGCAGCAGAATGACTTGGCCTCCCTCAGTGGGTTGGACTCCCCCTAGTCCACATAGTCTTAATTAAAAAAGCAAACTTAAGTATCCAAAATGTTGCCTTCTGGGTCATGAACCAGAGATAAACAGTATCATTTCCTGATGATAAAGGGATCAATTAATCAAGAGGACATAATAGCCCTGAACATTTATGCTCCTAATAACAGAGCTTCCAAATACATAAAGCAAAATCTGAAAAAAGAGCAAAGAGAAAATGACAAACTGACCAATAGACAAATTATAGTGATAGCTGGAGATCCAAAGGCTCTTCTCTGTATAGTTGATAAAATCATATAGACAGAAAATCAGCAAAGATATAGTAGACTTGGACAACACTAGCAATTGGCTTGACCTAATTAAGTGGTAATAACCCAAATGCCCGTCAACAGGGAATGAATAAACAAATGTGGTGTGCATATGCATACCACCTGCAACAAGAAAAAATGACACTCACTAACATGGACAAATATCAAAATAATTATGCTTAGTAAAAGAAGTGAACCAGAAAGGAGTACATGCTATAAGAATCCATATATACAAAGCTCTAGAAAATGCAAACTAATTTATAAAGAAAGAAAGCAGATCAGCGGTTCCTCTGGGATAAGGATGTGGGGAGAAGATCAGGGGAGTGATTAACAAGAAACATGAGAAAACTTTAGGAGGAGAGAGATATATGTTCCCTCTCTTGGTTGTGGATACTGATAGATTCATAGATATATACATATAATAAAATTTGTCAAGTTATACATCTTATGTGCAGCTTATTATATGTCAACTCTACCTTAATATCGCTTTTTTAAAAAATGGTTTAAGGTTCTGTGGAAGGCAGAGAAGAAAGTTTCCAATTAGAAATCTTGTTTTCGAAGTTGCATAATTTGCCTGGTGCCCAGGTTCATGTGCTCTGCTAACCCTGAGATATTGGCTGAAGGCATCTGATACACAGCTCAACATTCTGGTTTGGAGAGAGCATCTGGAAGAACCCAAGGTAAGTGCCAGGTGTCCCAGGTAAAATCCCTTCTAAGAAGGAAAAATGAACACGGGTACTGTGTAAGCAACTACAAAGATTTCACTGGGCAGAGTGACATAGAATTCTTGTTTGGGCCAGTGCTGGCCTTCAGATGCTGGTGGCATTTCTCCAACTTTTCTGCCTCCTTCCAGGTCTTCGGAGGGACTGAGGACCTCCTGGGGGAAGCTTCTTGTACACAATCATGTAGTCACTCACAGACATGTAACATTTGGCAAACGTTGGGTGGTGCTGGCACGGACCCTGGTTATTCGAGAGAGATTCAGTCATGTTGGAAGGAGTTTGGCCAGAGGTGCCAGACTCAGCCACAGGACCCAAAGATCAGGGCTGGGGGCAGTTCTGGGCAGAGCATGGCAGCTGGGTCTTGGCGCTGCTACACATGTGAGCCCTGGGGAGGAATACAGTTTGTGTGTTTTTTTATGTGAACTGAATCATCCTATTGACACCGAAGCCTGTGCTCTTAATGATGGACCCTATCAACCCCCAGACCAGGGTTCTGCAAACCCCTGACCACAGACCTAATCTGACCCATTGCCTGTTTCTATAAACAAAGTTTTATTGGAATACAGACACCACCATTCATGTATGTTTGGGCCATGGCAGCTGTGCTACTAAGAGCCGAGTTACATAGTTGTATGGTTATGACAGAGACCACAGGACCTGAACAGCCTGAAATGTGTGTATCTGGCCTGTTAAGGAAAAGGTGGCCAACTCCTGGCTCTACATGTCAGGCCTTACTATGGTGTGAATGATCTGTTTGACTAGAAGTAGTTTAAGGCATTTTATTTAAAAGAAACAAATATAGATGAATGGATAAACAAAATGTGATATATATGTGTGTGTGTGTGTGTGTATATATACATTATATATATTTAATTATATATATTATATATATTAATTATATATATTTAATTATATATATATAATTAAATATATATAATGGAATATTATTCAGCTTTAAAGAGAAAGGAGATTCTGACACAGGCTGTGACGCAGAGGACACTGTGCTTCATGGAAAAGCCAGCCACAGAAGGACAGCTACTGTATGATTCCACTTCTTGGAAGTCCCCGGAGTGGTCACGTTCACAGAGACAGAAAGAAAGTGGTGGCTGCCAGGGGCTGGGGGAGGGGCGTGGAGGGTGTAACCAGGACCGAGTTTCAGTTTGGGAGGGTGAAAGGCTCTGAAGGGGGATGGACAGTTGCACCACAATGTAACTGCATTTGATACCACAGAACTGTACGCTTAAAAATGATAAAGCTGGTCAATTTTATGTTAGGTGTATTTTACTACAATTTTTAAGAAGAAAGAAAACAAAGAATCAGATATGTGATGAAGTAGAATGCAATTTTCCATGGGCTTTTTTTTTAAGATAAAATATAACACTTCAAAGGATTTTCAGACGCCTCCCCTCTCTGCTGTTCAGGACTCTTAGGTGGAGGCTGTGGAGAAGCATGTGGCACTGAGGGACTTGGAAGAAGTCACTCCCTTGCATCCGTCTTCGCTACAGGTGAGTCACATGGGCTCCCAGGGCAAATGAGGGCCACGGCGCCCAGGCATGCTTCTCAGGAGAGGGTGGTCACCCTGGCTGGTGGGGCAGCAGGGAGGTGAGACCAGCGCCAGGTCTGGCATCCACCCTACCACACCGGCAGAAACCCCCTGGGAGAAGCAGACAAGATAACAGAAGTGGATGTGAAAATGCTCTTACAACCTGAAAGTACACAATGATGGTTAGGCATATCCTCGGCCTCCAAGGAGTCATATCTATTTTTACAGGTGGAACAGTGGTCCAATCAGGCTGGCTCTGAGACCTACTGGCTTTGTGACCTTTGGCAAAGCACTCCTTGAGTCTGAGCTTGTTGCCCAGTATGTAAATGGGCTACTAATACCTAAAGGGGAGGCCATGACACATCAGGGAAGGGGCGTACAAAGCACCTGGGGGCTCTCCTGTGCTAGACTCTAGGTCACGGTCTTGCAGTGTGAACTCAAATCCTCATGTCTCAGCCAACCTGAGGGCGCTAGGCAGGAAGGGGATCCTCCAAGTTTTCTCCACAGACTGCCCGCTTACACCTCACACGCTAGGGGGCTCTTTACTGTGAGGGTGGTCTGGATGAGGTTATCAGGCACCTGCTCAGGGAGCCAGAGAGGCCAGCATCTGTGTCAGCCCATTCCACCCTGTGCCCACAGCCCTGTCCGAGTGTTGAATGAAGCTGTCGAGAGAAATCCCACTGTTCGCCAACTTCTAAGTAACATAGAGCCGGGTGGGCGCAGCCCGGGGCAGCACTGATTATTGTGACAAGCGGACGTGCAGGCTGCGTCGTGGAGTGACAGCCGCACACTTGTCAAGATGGAGCTTTCTGTGCTCAAAGGCGAGAAAGAAATAACAGGGCTGAAGAACTGGGGGAGACTGTGACCCATAAATAGGACTTCTGCAACAGAAGACGCCCTCCTTGTGGTCCCACATGCACCTGTGCCTGTCACAGCTACTCCAGGGCTCCCTGTCCGGGGGTGGCCCAGAGCTGACCACTCTGAGAGGGTGTTTGGAAAGGGGCACTCCCCACTGTGTGGGAGCAGCCCTAGAAAGCGCACAGTCAGCCAGATTCTTGTAGGGCTCCAGGGATATTGCCCTCAGATAGAATCTAGACCTGGGGGAACTTGGCTGTCATCAGATTTCCTTCCTTTGGAGCTAGGGACAGGGTGCGTGGGGGGCGCTGGGTTGGATGTCAGAGGCAGAGAGAGACTGGAAAACTGACTTGCCTGAAGACTTTGTGCTAGGAAATGCAGACACCTGGTCTTCTTGCTCATCGGCTGACCTTCTTAACGGAAACAAGCTGGAACCTAGAAATGAAAACAACAGTGTTTCTTCAGGGGCTTTTTAAATTAATAAAGGGTAAAAGCAAAAGATAAAATGAAGTCCGTGGCTCTGGGTTAAGTCTTCTCATCTGATTCTCAATCAAGTCCGGACGAGTATGAAAGGACATCCACTGTTCTCTGTCTGATGCGGCTGAATCATCAAATGACACTTTGTTGAAAGTATTAAAACCTAGGGGTCACGCCAAACTCAGCTTGAAGGCGAGAAGGCATTCTTTCGTCTCAGCACAAGTGCATATTTGGAATTGCAAATGCAAATTCTTTGGAGACAGACTTGCCTTCCTGGCCGGCAAGTACAGACAGAACATTTGAAAGCAGGTCTTGCTTTAATTTTTGACAAGTGTTAGGAAGAGATACTCTTCACAGCTTGAGAGAGAAGGAGAATGAAAACCAGCTTGCGGGTCAGAGTGTGTGGAGGGAGGGCGAAGATGGGGCACGGCTCTGGAAGGAATCATCTGACTCAGTTTCTGCCTCTGCTGAGGGCTCTCTCTGATGTTAAGGGGAGGGGGGTGGCAGGGGGTTACGGAGGAAGTCCACGGCAATGGTACAGCTACCTAGGAACTTGGCAAACAATCTGAATTTTTCCAGAGGAGGAGAGGAAGCCACAGAGGCTTGGATTCCTGGAAACTTATCGTACTTACCTGTTTTCTAGCGGTTTCCCAGTTTGGGGAATTCGTCCAGCCCTGAGCCTCCGGGTCTAGCTGAACTTTTGAAGGGCTCCTAGGAAGCTGCCCTCAGGTGAAATCCAGTCCTGAGGGATTTGACTGTGATCAGAATCCCTTCCTGTCAGAGTCTGGGTAAGGGCGCATGGGGGTGAAATCAGCCTTTTCACCCAGCCTTTGTCTACACGTGCTCTCTTGGGTGTGAACACTGGGCTCACACCACCCTGGGAAGGCCGGGAGAAGGAAAAGACAAGGCATTAACATTGATTAGACATGTACCAGGGGCCTGGACTTGACCTTGAGTCTTCCCATCAAACCATGTTGGAGGTGAAGAAAGTCAGGTTGAGGTGGGGCCAAATAACCCGCCCGAGGTCCTCCAGTGAATGGGCCAAGGGCAGAATGGAGAGTTAACGTGACTCTGGTTGGCTCTGACGTTCTTTCCCTTTCTTCTGTACTGAGTCACCAACATGTATAAGAGAAGACAAGGGGATGTCCGATAGCCAGATCCAAGTCACTCAGAAGAAAGGAAACTGAAACACGCATGTCCCAGTGACCTGGTTTGGGCCACTCCCACTGCAGACAAGTGACTGCTCACATTTTGTGATTAAGGAAAATCCTAGTGTGGCCAAGGTAAATGTCTTGATGCCTCCTAAGCTCTCACTTGCCCTTTGAAAATATTAAGATATCATTCACATGCCATAAAGTTCACTCATTAAAAGTTGTTTTGAGTATGTTCACAAAGCAGTATAACTGTTACCCTATATAATTCCTGATTATTTCATCACCCCTAAAAGAAATGCTGTGCCCATTAGCAGTCTCTTCCTACCCCATCTCTAGCCCTCAGCTCTCGGAAACCACGCATCTTTTTTTCATTTCTGTGGATTTGTCTGTTCTAAACATTTCATGGAAATGAAATCATGTAATACGTGGCCTGTTATGTCTGACCTCTTTCACTTCAGCAGAATGTTTTCAAAGTTCATCCACGTCAGAGTTGGATAAGGTACTCACTCTTTTTCATGGATGAAAAGTACTCCCTTGCAGGAACAATCATATTCACTTATCAGGTGATGGGAATGTGTGATGCTTCTATCTCTGGGCCATTATGGATAATCTCGCTCTAAGCATTCATGTACAAGTTTCGTGTAAACTTCTGTCTTCAGTCCTCTTGGGTATGTACCCAAAAGTGGAATTGCTGTGTCTTATAATAACTCTATATTTAACTTTGAGGAACTACCAGATTATTTTCCAAAGTGGCAGCCCCATTTACATTCCCACCAGCAATGTACAAAAATTCCAATTTCTCCACATCTTTACCAACATTTGTTATTGCCCGTCTTTGTGACTGTAGCTATCCTGGTGTGTGTGAAGGCATATCTCATTGTGACTTCTACTTGCATTTCTCTGATGAAATCACTAACGGTGTTGAGCACTGTGTGGTATCGGCCATTGAAATGCCATCTTTGGAGAAATATTTATTCAACTCCTTTGCCCATTTTTAAATTGTGTTACTTGTCTTTATTTCTCAATTGCCAGTGCTGTGGTTACTGGACTCTTACTAGATGCATAATTTGCAAATATTTTCTCCCATTCTGTGGATTATATTTTTACTTTCTTGATAGTATCTTTTGAAGCACTTAATTTTGATGAAGTTCAATTTATCAATTTTTTTTGGTTGCTTGTGCCTTTGGTGTGCTATCCAGGAAACCATTGCCTAATCCAAAGTCACGAATATTTACAACTGTGTTTTCTTCTAAAAGTTTTAGCTCTTACATTTAGGTCTTTGACCATTTCAAGGTAATATTTGTATACGGTATAAGGTAGGAGTGTCCATTCTTTTGCATGTGGATATCCGGTCACCCCAGCACCATTTGTTAGCAAGACTATTCTCTCCCCATTGAGTTGCCTTGGCGCATTTAATCTAAAATCAATAATTAAGACACATCAATTACGTGCATGGATTTATTTCTGGACCCTTGATTCTGTCCCATAGGTCCACAGGTTTATCCTTATGCCAGGGTCACGCAGTCCCAGTCACTATTGCTTTGCATACAATTTGAAGTCAAGAAAGTGCGAGTCCTCCAACTGTGTTCTATTTTTTTCAACATTGTTTTGGCTTTTCTGGGTCCCTTGTACTTTCATATGAACTTTAGGAATTGCATTTTCATATGTCAATTCTTGCAAAAAGGCCAGGCGTAATTTTGATCCCACGGCCTTTTATCTCTGAAAAGGGCTTGGGAGGAAAGCTGTGGGCAGGTAGAGGAGCTTTCTTTGCACACCGACGATGGGAACAGAAAGTGCCCCCCTCCAGACCAGTGGTCTCACGCAGGCGCCCAAATGCTGATAATGGCGGGGCCTCTCTGCTGAGCGTGAAAGACACAGGGTTTCCACCCAAGCCTACCCCAGCGGGGAAGCATTTTACATTCACCTGTTCACTATTCCATGGCCACTTGCAAAGAAATGAGCCAATTTCCATCCAATTCAATCCATCACAAAGATTGGCAAAATTACAGTGAGTTGGATTTGGGGTTTCTCATACGACCTTAAAATAAAATGGTATGTATTCTGTGATTTTTTAACCAAAGTCACTGAAATTTGACCAAGGTTATGGGAGTTTGAGCCAAATTGGATCACTATTAATTACTTAAAGCAACAATTAATTATATGTGAACACTCACTGATGTGGACCCATGTTCTTGTCTGTGAACAGAGATGATTCTTGGATCTCTATCACCTCTGAAGTTCTATCATTTCAGTCATCAGCTGGGTTACTGTGAGCATCCCCTTCCTACCTCAAGTCCTCCCTCAGTGCGTGAGCCACCACTTCCTTGGTGACCCTCACCGGAAAGGACTGAACACAGTGGTGAATGGCAGTGGGGCGGGGCGGCGGGGGGTGCCCTGTTTGAACACATCCTACTGCTGGGTGAGGTTCTCTACAATAAGAGAACAAATGTCTGTTAGAGAGGGGAGAGTTCACTCTAGTGACTCTTGGACTGTTCTTCTCATACGTCTTTAGGTTAATATTTCAATTCGAGGGGCAGCTCGTCTTGTAGGATCACCAATACGGAGCTTTCTCAGTGAAGAAAGCTGATTAAACCAGGCTCACGTAACTCCTTCCCAAACTCTAGAAGTCTTTCATTATTGGCTTTCGGCTCAGAACAATACCAAGCAGGCATCCTCTGACACTGACCCACTACAAACTTGCAGTTTATATCAGAGGAAGAAAATGAGTTTATGTGGGACCTCATGTGCCAACTCCCATCAATTATCAGTAATTTAATACATTGTGTTGAGAAGAATTCTGAGGCTGAGTTTCACTCTCAGGAGGAAAAAAGGTGGCATGATACAGTACGTCCAGGAGAAGGCCCCGGGGCATAGATTCTATATATTTTCCATCCCTCATCAACATATAACATATATGTATATGTTCACCAATCTGTGAACTCTGAAGTAACTGGAAAGATTCTCCAATTGTCTCTATACTATACATTCATTCTGGAATGAATGTCTCACACATAGGTATATGCACAGTGATTTTTCAAATACAAATAGATATACTAATAAAATACAAGTTTATTTCAAAGAATTATTCAATTCAGAGTGGACTTCTTTCATCATACATGTTTTCTGTCCACAGATAAGAAGAGACTAATTACCACTCTATGAGGGCCTGCAAGATATTTAAAAGATGTCTTCATCTTAAGAAAAGTGGAAGCCACTGCTTTACAGCCTCCTCATGAGCAAAGGCTGAAGGGCAAACAAAGATATCAGACATAATTATGTCATGATGATTCGACACAAATCCACACACTGAATGAATGGCTTATATTACATCCTGGCACTAACATGGTTTTCCAACAACCAGGTAAGCTTATTGTCTTGGGAAGGGAGGTCCTAATGCAGTAAATGAACTGCATCCCAGGGGAATAATGATGATGATGATGATGATGATGATGATAACAAGTTCTTTGAGATAAGAAGATGACCCCACTCCAATTTCTTCCCAATTCTGATCTCACGTAATGTCACAACCAAGGGCCCTTTGAAATGTCTTCCTCCATGGTTCTCAAACAGTGACTGGTTAGCGCCAGATTTCTTGCCACAAAATCTTACCCAGAACCACAAAATATAAAACAGATCAAAGACTAGCCATTACAGCTGCCGGGAGAATGAGGTACGAGACTCCTCCATGTTGGACATCCCCGGGTCCACCTCAGCTATGCCTGCAGACTCACAGTGCTGGGTACCAATAGCATCCAAGCCCTGACCTCATGGCCACCTTTACCATATGGGGTAAGGCAAGCAAGACCCCCATCCTCAGCCCCCACCCTCAAACCAAACCTTATCCCATACTGCCTTGAGAACACCCAAGCAAGTCAGGCAGGCTGTCCTCTCTCCAAACTGGTGACCGAAAAACAGCCCCTGCGTGGTGCACCCACTGGAATCGTCCTGATGCCAGAGAGGTGACCGGCCAAAACTGGAAGCTTTCTATCACGAATTGTTCCAGGTTTTGAATTTGTCTATATCATTTTTTTAAAGGTAAAAATCAAATGATAAAATGCAGGCATCTTGTGTCTTGTTTGTCACTTGTATCTTCAGTGTAAACACTACCCAGACAGTCTGCCTCTGATCCCCTTCCTTCCTTCCTCTTGCCCCTGCTTCCTTTCCTACTCCGTTTTCCTCCTTTGAGCCAGGTTGGGTCAGCCTCGCCTGGGCCCGCCCCTGCGGTCTGTGGCCCCAGCAGCCCGCAGAGCAGCGAGGGCCCGACTCCATTCCACGCCACCCCCTGGGCAGTGCCTTGGCAGAGATTTGAAACATTTCTATTTAAATGACATTTGAACAAACGCAAAGGGCTTCAGTTGTACGTCAATCACATTCCCTGGGACCCAGTTGGGAGCTGGGTCCCTGTGGACAGTGCACATGGAGTTCCCTGTTTTCTGATTTGAATTGCTTTGTTCTCTGTCCAGGAGGGGGAAAAGAGGGGGATGCATTTGGCCTAAAATGAAACATTCCCCTTTTAAGTCAGAAACTTGAACATGGCTCGAAGGAGAGAGTTTAAGCTCCATAATCCCAAGTCCTGAGCAAAAGCAGTAACAAGCCTGCAATTTCCTTTTTGGAGGAGAGAAGCCAGAGAAAGCCACTGGGCAAGCAGACTGGCGCCCTCCATGAGCTTGCCCAGAGCAGGCATGTCACATGTTCCCCAGGGCCACCGCGCAGAAATCCCATTCTGCAAGGTAGCTGATCTGTTTCCTTCCCAGGTCTCAGCAGATACGCTCTGCAATTCAGCTGTTGGGGCGGGGGAAGCCACAGGGGCAGCTTTTCTGTGGCTCCCAGGTCTTTCTCCGCTTTCCGTGTCTGTGTGGGTCCCACCCGCTGCGCCTGTCACCACCCCAGCTGCCCCTGGTTCCTAACTGGCCCTCCTGCCGCCCTGTAACCTGCACGATCTGCCCACAGTCTTTCTTCTCTTCTCACCCGCCAGCCGTCACCAAGTGAGGGAGCCACAGGGGAGTGAGGGGGGTGTCAGGTCTTGGCATAAATCCCTCAAGTTCCCCAAGTTTGGGTTTTCTTACTGCACACATGAGAAAATTGGACCAGATCACACACTCTAAGTCCTCATCCATTTTGAAAAATGTTGGAATCATCAAGTAATAGCACTTAGAGAGCGAGTATCTAAGTTTGATTTTCTCATTTTTCTGATAAAAAATAAGACCTCTGGCTGACCCTCAGCCTCCAGGCATGGAGATGTCTTGCTGATTTGACCTTGACCTAGTGATTCAAGCCCTTGTTCTCCAAAGGCCTTGTGTCAGTCAATGTTTGTTTAATTAGTGGGAAAATGCAGAGATGGGTGGGTGAACAGATGAATGAATGGATGAAAACTATCAGACGAACAAATGTTTTCTATGTGCCCAGGGTCTGCTATCACAATAAGCATCCCAGCGGTAGCAGGTGTCGGAGACACGGCAGAACCAGCCCCGTGTGCCCCACCTTGCCAGTCCCAGCCATTGTCCTTTCTCTCAGGGCCAGACCTGCCTCTAATGTATCCATTTTGGTGAAGGAAAAGGTATTTTACATGGTGATTTCACATCCTTGGAACCTTGAATCTTTTCTCTAAGGAAAGAATTGAAAACTTCTGATTCAATTTCTCTATGTTAATATTTATGTGGGAAGTTCACTAGGTTAACCAGGACATTTTTGGTTGCAAATGCCAGAAACTCAATTCAACCTGGCTTAAGCCCCAGAGGAAATATATCAGTGTCTATAAACAAAACCTCCAGAGGTGGATTTTCCTTTGTGTGTCGCTGAAACCAGGTCTGTAAACAATGAGATCAGAACTCTTTTCCTCCCTTCATTTCTCAGCTTTGTTTTCCTCAGTTTTGGCTTCACTCTTAGGCAAGCTCTTAGCTGTGGAGCCTTACAAAAGATGCTACACACCAAGTAGCTCCAAGCTTCCCAGGTCCTTAGAGCCAGGGCTCAGAGTGAAAAGAGTAGTTCTAAGCTCCCAAGGCTGACTCTGATAGGCCTAGCTTGGGTCAGGTGACAATTCCTGAACCAATCACTGTGACCGAGAAAAAATGGAATAAATATTCTGATTGGTCAAGCCAGGATTATAGTGGTGGTTGACTGAGAGTGAGCAAAATGAAAAGGGAGGGTTCTCTTGCATATTCAGAAGGAGAGAAATGAAGGACATGAAAAAAATGCCACCTGGCCATTACACTGATTTACCCATACTGCCTCAGGCTGCACCTCTATTTTTCTCCTTAGGACACGTTTATCTTCATCAGATAATTAGGACTTGTGAAGCAGTTCTGAGGCCACGGGCTGTGACAGATTGCATTTTCCAAAGATTGCTGTAATAATATCTTCTTTCCCACATGATCCTCCAGAAACTTGGCACCCCTCATCCCCTTGAACCTGGGTTGGCCTGACAGCTGCCTGTCCAATAGTGTATATTAGAAGTGACACTACATGACATCTGTGTGTAACTCATAGCAATGCTGTGCATTTCTGCCTTGTTTTGTAGGGATGCTCACTCTTAGACCGTGACCACCATTCTGCGAGGAAGCCCAAGCAGCCCGTGGAGAGGCCCTGAGGGACAGATGCTGAGGCCCACAGATTCAGCTGAGACTGGGCACCCAGACAACAGCCATGTCGGTGAGCCATTTTGATAGGGAACCCTTCAGCCCCCGACTGAGTCACCCCAGCTGACGCCATGTGAAACAGATGCGCTCTCCCAGCCAAGCCCTGCCCAAACTGCAGACACATGAGCAAAACAGATGATTCCATTGTTTTAAGGCACTGGTTCGTGCACAGTTTGGTCCACAGCACTAGTTGACCGATAGAAGCCTTTTAACAGGGATGGAGACTGGAAGCCTGAGCTTGCAGTGTACCCACCATTCCTGATGCTTCCTCTGCCCCCTTGGGTGGGTGATAAATTAGCCATCACTTGGTGTGGAGGAGCCAAAGGATGTGGAAGTTATTCTGTTTTGCTAATTAGCTGTGTGGCTCTGCAAACAATATGTCACATTGCTAGCCCCACCCCCCCGCCCCGTGTGCCTCCAAATGTGCCAATGTGAGTCCCAGGTCACACCATATTGCAAATATAAAACTCATAAGGCCTGGAGAGCTTTCTGTAGAGAAGATTCTCCACAGACAGGATGTGGATTCTGACGCAGGTGCTGCTCAAGCAGTTAAACTGTTTCAGGGCCTATAACCTGCCTCTCTGGAGGAACCTTACCTCAGGGCATGCATGAGCTTGCCATGTAATGACAAACATCCTGCTGGAAGGCGTTTAATGGTTTAATCAGTACATCTCAGTCTAATCAGTATTAAAACCAAAGCTTGAAGAAACCCAGAGCTTCTTCTGCCAAAATGAAATTTGGCTTGGACAGGGAGTTCACCTCTAGGCAAAATTGCATTTAAGACCCTTACCCAACCTGACCCCAGCCTGGATTTCCAGGCTCCGTTCTGTCCCTAATGCACCCTGGGCTCCGGATTCCCCAGATTTCACCTGTCACTCAGAGGCATTCATGATTCTGCTCAGACCCTTTCCTCTGAGTGGAATTCCTTCTCTCCCCTCTCAACTCTTCTAATACATCTGTTTATCTTGCATAACTCACCTTAAAATTTTTCTTCCCCAAGATGCCTTCCATGATTCTTTCTACTTGCAACATCCATCTCCATCCGCCATGCTACTCAGCCCCCTGCGTGTGCATATCATTGAGATGTGAGCTGCTCCCGGGTTTAGAGTGCCCAGCTGTGGTTAAGTACTCTGACTATCTCACCTCACAAGAAGTCCGGGGTAGGCGGTTCTGAAATAGCAGTCCAACGAAGCCCTCTAGGAATCTGACATTTTTTCCCATACTGTAAAACTCAGCATTTGACTTTTTATCCTTGGTCTTGTCTCAGTATAACTGCCTGCACTCCAAATGGCATATCTGTACACAGCCGTTCTCAAGTCAGGAAGAAGGTGCCAGGTCCACCTCAAGAGGACTTCTCCTAGTACATTAGCCAGATGTGGTTACATGCCCACTCCTAAACAATCCCTGAAAGTGAGGATTACATTTGGCATGGTCCAATCATGGTGTGTCTGTTAGGACTAGGAGGGGACCACCTGTCCTAAGAATAGGGTCACCTGAAAAATCTTGGGGCTCTATAAACACATGCATAATGGAAAATCATTGTTGGGTAAGCCAACAACTAGTTGTGTTTTTTTCTCTTATCGCATAATATAATTGCTAGTTTTATATATATTACTATCTTCTCAGCTGGGCTGAGTTCTCGAGGAGAAGAACGATATTTTATTTAGCCCTGAGTTCACAGCACCACATCCTG